AATTATCACCTGTACTCATTGTGCATGTGGTTATTCTATGTGTAATAGGACGAGATTACCTGAGAGTCCCGTGGCGAAACAAGTTTGCAGCATGGAAAACACGACATGAGATTAAAGCCCAAGATCACGTAATTGTGTTTGCTTCGTTTAGTTTTCGTGTTCTTGTAGCTTTTTCAAATTAGTCTTATCTCGTAGGTTTCTTTTTGTCACATTTTATGTCTTATTTTGCATATTTAGGCTTGGTCAATTATTTATAGCAAAGCGGTTTGTGTTACTTACAATCAAGTGTAGCAAGATGGATCAATGGTTAATCAGGTACCATGGTAGATGAAGTAAATTAAGCGCGCACAGGCATATACAACTACAATGAGAAGGTGGTCATAATCTGTAACTACAATATATAAGCTATTAATGTTAATACGCCACTAATTTGTTGCATTGCCTCTAATAATAATAGGCTTTATTTAGAGAGGGTAAAAACACTTAACAGTAGCCGTAAGACACTGATGACTCTGTGACCCTCAGCCTCTCGGTGCTTCCTTTATCTCAACCTGTAGAGCGCAAGCTAATTGAGACCTAATCGTGGTACAAGGGTTGGAAGTTGAATGGAGCCCTCCCCCCTCATTTGGTATTTGTTATTTATTTTTCAGTATACCTTCGTTTTCTTGCCATGTTGGGCGACATCTCCGTTCATAATTCGTGTTGTCTGATGTGAGTTTGTAGGCTGAATATACCGGAATTCCCCGACCTTGATCGAAAAGCGATGTGTAGAAGGTTTCTTTTTCCAGGCTGAATTTCTTTCTATTTTTCTGTTGGCAAATGAGGACCATTCTTTCTTGGTTCTCACGTAAACCCACTGGCAGTGTCCCACTAGGAAAGAACTCTTTGACGTGATTGTGCTCGCAATCATTTTGGACACTTTTACGCAATCCTGGTACATCGTGTGCCTTTAAGCTGTTCCCAATGAGAAACCGACCGTCCCTCGTACCTAAAGATGTTAAAAAAAATTATTATAGAAAGGTCCTTACTCTATTTTTGCTAGTTTCGAAGTTCTTGGAGTCTATAGAAAATGTATCTTGTATCTAACCGGTTTTGTGTTTCATCGGGTGTGGGCCCCCTTCCACCACGTTAGACTCTACCAGTCCAAATATTAGCAGGAAGAGCAAACTCTTTACAATTATGGCGTCCATCTCGGCCGTAAAGCCAAGTCAGGCAAGGTTTAGTCTTCGCAAGTTGACGAAAACGAATGGAATAGTTAACAAGTAACAAATTTCTTATGCCAAAATTTTTTGGTAGACTTTTGCCGGTTGAACAGATGGTCCAATCACACGGTAGAAAAATAACTATTTCGCTACACAGAGTGCACTCAACTAATTCTTTAGACATTGAGTTAATTTTTTTAAAGTTCTAGTCATGACCCCGCTCTTAAAAGGGCTTTGAACACCTCATATTTTAAACATTCGCTCATGTTTAATTAATAACCTCAGTCAGTTGCCCTTCGAAATAACTTCACTTAGCTCTTTGCTCGAGTTTACCGACGGATAAAAACTAAATCGTAGAACCTATTTTTATAAGAAAGAAGCAGGTTTAACAAGGTGTGAAGGTGGATCCCAGTAGAAAAAAAAAGAGAAACAAAAAGAAAGTTTGACAAGATGAGATAGGATAGATGATAGGAGTGTCAAGGTAACCGATGTTTCACACAAACATATAGTTGCGTTTCTTACCAAGGTGTTACTGTCACCTTTTCTTTTTGGTTTTTGTACTATTTCTGGGTCTTGCAAAGAAGTGTATTCGCGTTCATATCTAAGGTTTATTTCTTTTAACTTTGCATCGGGTTCAATGGAGTTAACTGTCAGCCGTTTAATGGCCAAGAAAGGTTGATTTGCCGTCGTGCGTCAAGGATTGACAATTTTCAACGTTAGTTGTTAAAAACTTAACCGTAAAACTTTGTTTCCAACCGTCACAGAAAGAAATCAACCGCTATTTGTAAAACGCGCCAAATTTTAATCCTTAGGCGTAAAAGCCATCACCCCATTCAGAACCTGTTCCCTGAGAAGTCCGAGAAATATTTCAAGTTCTTGAGGTTAACAAGTACTTGATATATTTCATAGATTCTAACATATCTTTGAAAAAAAATATCTAATGGAGGTTGAGATAAAAAAAATAATTGCATGAATTGGAAATAATTACAAACTGTTGATAATAACCCAGAAAACCTTAAATGTAAAAGTTGTCTCTACTAAACTCTCATCGCCAACGTTTGGTACAAAGCTGAGTGACCGGGAAAAATAACGAATTGCATAGATTTTAGCGCTTTTTTTTCAAGCTACCATGCAAGATATTCATTTTCATTACAATAAAAATTGAAAAATCCCACTTCACGAGTTTATGATGGCCAACTTGACACTTTTTTAAATTGCTTTTGGACAGTATTAGTTATCTAGAAATTCACTAATGCCATGATTTTACGTAGCCAACATTTTATCCGATAATTTACCTTAGTACGTTCCGTTGTTTTGCGTTAAGTCGCCCTGTCTATTAACTACAACTCCGAAAATGACCTCCTGAATTATCGAAATACCCTACTCCAGCTCTTTAGCAGTGGACAACGTCGATTAAACCATAAAATTATATTTTGCCTGAGAATCTGGTGATACTCTAAAGTAATTTAGTTTGTTTCTCATTGTCATCCCGAAACTAAATATAGAACGCAGCGTTAACTTAAAAATATAAATTTAAAAAAATAGCCGTCGCCGTTCACGTTCTCCAGAAAACGCAGAGTTTAATCATTTCACGTTGTCTTTTTGCAGAGGATGCCTAAAAATTTAGAAAGGTTTAGCAGTCACACTCGCACCAAAGACGACATATTGACACGATGAACTTTCATAACTTTTGAAAGAAACTCTTAGTAATCAAATATTACCGAATATCGTCGGATGAACAAACGGGTAAATAAATCGGATATTTTGCCGGGCTGAATCTTGCTCCATATTTTGCGACCTTTTAATTGCTTCACTGATCATCACCGCTGAAGAGAACCAAAGCCATGCACAAGACTACAGCAAATGAAAAAGAGTTTAATTGTTCGAGGAAGAGAGCGTTTATAACTCAAAGAGTCATTGCAGTGAGCCGATGTTTGGCTTCTCAGAGATACATCAGTGGCCTGAAAGATTCACTGGATGATGATTGCTCCTCTACCTGTTAAAAATATATATATTTTTTTAGCAGTGGTAAAGGAATTATAAACAAATAGAAACCTAATGAACAGAGAAGGACTTTAACGTAACATTTTGAGCTGCAATGATCCTAGCACGTGTTTTTTATTCCTATCCACTACAACCTTTTTCATTTGACGGGTCAAATATCTACTCTTAGGCTATCTTACTTTTATTGCATAACTCAGTTTGTAATTTTTGTTGGTGCTGAAACGGATTTGCCCTTTTTAAAAGAGAAATTTTGGATTGGAAAATTATCTTGATGATGCTTATGCACGGTTAATTTATGAATATTCAAAATCGTATGCTTACTTTTACTCTCCATGTGTAATCTGTAAACTGTGACGGTGGAGATTATTAACTCAATAACAAAGAGTGATGATGAAACATTTAAGAAAGACTCCTTCATTCTGAATAGTGAGGTTACTCACAATTAAAAGCGAAAGAAAAACCTTCACGAACACAAAATTTAGGCAACAGTTCACTAAGACAAAATTAAGGTAACCCATGAAATATAGGTCAAGATAACCTGTTTGATGTTAATAGTTGCGAGACGTTTTTTGGCGAGTTAGGGTTCATAATCCAATCATATTTGATCGCGGCTTTTATTTCTGACAGCGTGTTATTAAATAGTTAATGACTGTTCCATAATCTTAATTTCGTAAGGCTTTTGTATTTTTTTTATATTGAAATGACTAAACCAGTCAAGCTATGGATGCTTGCTTAGGAAGAAATTATTGCCTGTACAAGAGATTCAGAAAATTCCGAGAATTCAACGATATTTGTTCGAAAAAAGCACTTGCAATATATGGCGAATTAAGGTTCATAATCCAAACATATTCGATTGCGACTCTTATTTCTGACAGCGTGTTGTTAAATAGTTGATGGCTGTTCCTTAATCTTAATTTCGTAAACCTTTTTTTGTTTTTTTATTTTTTTAAATTTTGAATGACTAAACCAGTCAAACTACGAATGCTTGCTTAGGAAGAAACAAAAAAAGGAAAGATTCAGAAAATTCCGAGAATTCACCGATATTTCTTAGAAAGGCACTTTCAATATATGTCAAAAATTTAAGTAGTCGATTTTGTAATGCTTTTTAACTTTCAGTAAAAATATTGTTATGACAAATTTATTTGACAGTTGTTATTTGAGTTGCACTCTCAATAAGAGGAAAGCTAATGATTGGACAGAGTTGTCTTTCTTTAGTCATGCATTTAAACCATTGTTTTTCGCTCAAATTGACATGTTAGCTTGATTTATTATTGTGTGTGGGTAACCGTCGAAGAGCGCGGAATAAAGTTTCTGATCATGAGTTGTACAACGTCGTAAAAATTCATGAGAAAGAGAAGAACTAACATAAAACAGGTTAAACTTGACAAACTTGTATGGCAAACTTGATTCACTAAGTCCAGAGATGTGATTTGCTATTCCCAGTCCCTCATAAGTAGTACTTTTAATATAAGAGAGGGGAATACAGAGACACGCTCTATCTCTTAATTAACCCTATTTTATCGTTTGGAGTTGTGCGAGTTTGCAACAATCCGGAATAAGCCATAGATATGTATATAAATCAGCAATCAGTCGTATTTTATGTTGAGCCATTGAATAAGGAATTTATTTAAATCATTACAAACTCCTTTTACACATATTTTTTATCGAAACTGATCATCGGCGATACAGCTCCGATTGTCATGCGATGACATACGATGTAACTGTAATGAACCGATTGAGGGATCCCTGTAAAAAGATAACGATCAAAGAGTCCGATGATATAATCTCCATATTTTATTCCTCTCTTATTCGTTTTTGTCCTTCCAGTTTAACCCCGTTGGCATCATCCATACATCCCGGGAATGCTGGAAACAAGTTGACTTCATCCTCTGTTTCGCCCCTCGCTTTATCTGTTGTTAATGCCCGTTGCAAAGTATGCATGGACATTGGACCAGTGTATAGGTCACTTGGATTTTCTGCGTTGTTTCCAAATACCGCAAAATTCCCCACAGCTTCACCACCTCTGACACAGCAGCCAGCAGTCCACAGGGAAGTGGGGACTGTTATGGCAGGGAATTGAGGAAGATCTTCATTAGCCAGTTTAGGTGCTTCGCTTGGCTTATTGGCCTTAAATTGGTCTGTATTTGGAATCCAATGCACAAATGAGCTTCCAGTTAAGAGATATAAAGTTCCATCATTCTTAGTACAATGATTTACGGCATAGTTGCGTATCCTTCTCTCATACTGAGACCACTGACCACTGTTAAGTGCTGGTCGCTGTGGCACCGCATTCGTGTAAACGAAAGTGGATCGAAAGCCGGCACCGCTATGGCCTGTATTTGATAAAGTACGTGCAGGTGCCAAGTGCCCTCGGTGAAATGGTAGGCTGGGATAGATCTCGTCGCTTCCCTGTTCCTCAATGCCTTAAAGAGGAAATTGAATTATGTCAACTACATCCACTACTAATTCTAAGAATATAAATATTGCTGCTGTGGACGCAGGCTAGACCAAACTGCACCAAACTACATCAAATTTACACCAAATTACACCATCTACTCAAAAAAACACTGAACTGATTTTTAGCATAGAGCACTGAGGGTTAAAACAAGCCCTATGTAATAAATCAACTTTCTTAACCTTCGGTTTGTTTCCACTTTGGGCGTGCCCATTCTTTGAAGTCTACGTTATTTTCCGTGAGAGTGTAAGCCGAGTATACTGGAATTCCAAATTGCTTGTCGAACATTGTTCCATAGTGGGTTCCATCATCGGTTTCTTGGTAATCTTTTTGACAGATGTATCTTATTTTGAAGTTCATTGGATCTCGCAAACCTACTGGTGGTTCATTTCCTGCAAAGTTTTTTCTGTAGCATTCGTCCCCATTGCCAGGGTAAACAGTTTTTCGGTTCCCTGTGATACCTTGCCTGTTACCTGGTGTAAAAATAAACAACACAAACATTCAAAATGAAATCTTCCCTCATGATCCTCTGGTTTTGGCTATGCGAGTAAATAAGTTATCTGTCACCTTAGTCGTGGTATTTCATGGATCATCCCACCCGTGACTTGTATGCTAACTTTCCTGTTATACACACTGGCCCACAGGCTTGTCTTTATACTGAGAAAATCCAAGTCATTCTCGAGATATTTCATGATATTGTGCTAAAAAGTGTTACATGCGTACTAATTTCCAACAAACATCTAATGCAAATAAAGCAATCTAGCGAAAAACCCATCTATAACACAGACTTTGATATTCAAAGAGCCCGATGGGAATTTTTAAAATATTTTTGACTTATTTCTCTTCAGAAAAAAAATCATTTCAATCAAGTGTTGTATTCGCCTCAAAAAGTTTCGTTCACAGAGACTACTCAATGAAATCTTCAATTTTTACTGACATTATTTTAAGCCGTATGAGCTACATTTGATAATTCGGAAGAGAACGAAATAGAAGACTCTGATGACTGTTAAAACAGTCTTTTTATCTTATAACAAGGGAACAATGGGTAGCTCTTTAACACAAGAAGTTGATTTCTGGCGGAAATAGTTGCAAAAATGTCGTAAAAAATTGGTGATAAATTCCACGGCAATAAAATACGAGAACAGCCAGTCAACGATACAAAGGTAAGATTTGCCTCTCTACAATCTGGGCTTTGTTGTCCCAGTTATTTCAGTTAGCCTTCCATTTTTTATGCTATTTCGGTTTTTAAAACGTGAGCAGTTGCTTATCCTACCCTTCCTCAGTTTCCTTTGTAAGGGGCTACCATTTCCGACATTAGCCGCTACAAGTCCTAAGATTAGCAGGACGTGTAAAATCTTCACATGGAATGCCTTCATCTTATTAGCATCAGAGTCAGCAAGTCAGGATACGAATTTCATCAACTGCCTAAAACGAATGGGAAACACCTGGCTGTAACAAGTATTTTATGGGTACAACGTCCTCATGTAATTTCGCTGGTTGAATAGATCGTCCAATAGCACAGCGGAAGTCTCAATATAGCTGGCATTGTTAAGGCAATTGAGTGCTTTTATTCCTCATAAATTAAAACTTGTTTTTTCCTTTGTGTAATTTTATACCAGTTCTTAACTATTGAATACCACTTTAAAGACCTTTCAAAGAGTTTCGAATCGTCAAGTTTTTGAAAATTTTCAAAAAGATATTTAAGTGTTTTGAATATTTAAGATTTGAAACATTGATTCGTCAGAGCCTAATTATTGGACAATGCACTTTAACAAATTTGACCAACAGAACTATTTCAGGAAAACAAACGATCCAATTTTTTCCTTAAAAGGAAGCAGTTTATAAAAGGTAGGAAGGCGCTGGGAGTACAAATTCTGTTGATAACTCTTTATACGACTGAATAGAGTTTGAATTACAGGTCTGAAATTTTAATTGGAGTACCCGTTTATAGAACCTTAATGAAGCAGAGAAACACAAAATTCACCTCTTGCAAAACTTACTGAAAGTATAGCTACCAAACTTCGCCTACAAATAACGATTTTTTTTGAAGCTGTTGCTTTTAGAAGATTTTGGAATGCCTTGCGGTTTCAAAAACCCAAAGTCAAATTAACTCATTCGGAAACAAGATATATTACTACATTTATGTAGATAACCACATTTCACATATGAACAAAGAGGGCTGCTGCGTGGATGGGAGAGTATAACAGTGTAACTTAGTATTATCAACTGAGTTGATAACGTAAATTAGCCACCTAAGAGCTGACCTTTGGAGCGTGAGCCTTTCGTCAGAGCGATGAACGAAGGACTTACGTTCGAAACGTCAGCTTTTAAACTCTTTACGGTGGCCAATTTACATTATCAACCCAGTTAATAAAACTAAATCGTCACAATTCAGATTGACCGATATGACAACTCTCCTATCTTGCTATAAAGACACTGCACTACCACACTGATAACGCACACATCGTCCGGGGGAATTATCCCAGTTTAAAACATTTAAAATTATCTGAAAATGCGTTTTGCACAGGAGATTGAGTAAGGGTAACTGGCATTAGCTGATACCCTGTTAAAATTGCAGCGGGTACCATTGTATAGAAGGCGCTTTGGGCACGTTGCAATTAGAAGGGCAACCCCAGAACATTTCGATGCGTTAAGAGCTGCAATGAACCTTTCGCGTGTAATGTACGTGACTTTATACAATGATATACGATATCTGTAAACATCGTATGCTCAGAGCAGTAGTTAGGATCGTATAGCTTATGTTTAGTATCTTTGTGTAGTCTGTGAGCCACAACAATTATCAAAATCATAAAAAGGAAATACATTGGGTAAACCATAAACTTTCTGACGGGCCCTTCCATCCTAGTTTACAAAAAAAAGGAAGGAAGCCTTCACGAAAACAGATTTCAAGACAAAGACTAACCCGAGACCTATGGGTCAAGTTCACCTGTTTGCGGTTAAAAATTTTGAAGAATTTTTGCGAAATGACAGTTTACTTGAGGCCATTACTTCTGACTAAAGGACCGGTAACCAGTTATAGTCTGCGAGGGGTTAAGGAAGTAGGGGTCGGGGGAAAGGGGGGTGGGGGTTGCGGGGGCGGGGGAGAAGTTTGATTGTGAGACGATGAAAGCTACTTGATCCCCCATAAGGCTCTCACACACTTTCAATCTATTATATCTTGAGATAGAGTTTAATCATTGAAATCCTGGAAACCTATGCTGAATAAAAGATAACAGTGAAAACCACAACAATAAAGGAAGAAGAATTGTCTTGGGGCTGCATGGTACATCAAAGAAACTGCATGATAATTACAAATGCCTCGTAACCAGACCCTTTCGCCATAAGTCGAGGGCTCTTGTAGCTCAACTAGTCTTTACTAGTCTCAACAAGTCTGAGAGGTTACAAATCAGCACATTTTTTCGTGCCTTTTTCTTTATATTTTATGTTACCTTGGCCAAAGTCATTTTTGAGTGACAAATTAAATAGCTCAGTTGGTCGAGGATTGCGTCGCATCTCTATATGATCAACCCGCGCAAATGAAAATAGACAAATTGTAAACAAAGAAAAAGGATAAAATGAAATAATTTTTTTCTGATAAAATTACTTGAAAATTTATACCGAAACAATTATTCACCCCAGGTTCGGTTAATATTAACTACTTACAGACGCAATGTGAGGACCATACTGGGAAATATTGGCCAAAGTCGTGGCAGTGTAGTCACGTTTCTTTGCTCGAATTCTTCAGAAGCGGAACATTATTCCAACTCCATATCATTCTCCTTCCTCTCTTCTTCTTCTTCTTTCGGTTTTCTCCCTTTTTTTTCATCTTCTTCGACATTTTCTACTTCTTTGTCTTCTTCTTTGTCTTCTTCTTCCATTTCTTTCTCTACTTTTTCCATCACCTCTTCTTCTTTTTCTTCTGCTTTTTCTTCTTCTTTTTCTTCTTCTTCTTCTTCCTTTTGATCTTCTTTGCATACTTGAGTAGCATTCCAAAGTTTTTCTCTAAACAGTCTGGAATTTTCAAGACATAGACTAACTCCTTCGGCAGTGAAATAGTCTTGCCTAAGAGTATTTGGAGGATTTTAACAGAAATTTGTTGTGTATGCATTTTACCTCGTTCGTTGATGTTTCTGTCGATCACTAAATAACTTTCTAGTTCATAATAAAGAAAGGATGTGTATTCACAGCACCCTGCAGTCCACAATGACGCGGGAACATATATTTTATCGTTATTAGTTTCCCCAGTCTGCGTTTCTAGATTATCGCCTTTGCTTACCCTATCTAGCCTTTTTACTTTTATCTATCTCGACCAGAGCGTCAACATAAACAAACGCCGTTCCAGAAAGAGCACTCCTTTGTGATCTTTGGTGCACACTTCTGCATATTTTCGTATTCATCTCTCAAACTTGGACCATTCACCAGCATGAAAAGATGGACGCTAGGAAAAGGCGTTCGTGTATCTATGTTACTTTTTCTTATCATCATAATCTTGTAAGTTTCTTTTGTTTCGCATGTTAGATATCATTTTGCATATTTAGGCTTGTTCAATGATTTTTCGTTAGTCATCACCATCACTAGATTTCAATAGAATAGATTTAGCAACTTAGAGAAATACACAACCCGCATATTGCTAAGCTGATCGGGCGGTTTGTGTTATAATTAAATTGAGCAAAATGGATTAATAGTAAATTAGGTAAAATAGATAAATAAGACATATAACCTAAGGAAGTAATAATAGTAGCTAGAGTTTGATTAAGGATCATATAAAAGTAAATTTTGAGATTAACGTTAAGACACCAACCAAACCATCCTCATCATCAAGCACCGCAAATAATAATTGGTGAACTTTGTTTTTGAGAGGTGTTTATTATCAGAGTTTACGCAAATTAGTTCAGGTTTAGTTCTCCGCCTTTTGAATTCATAGTGTAGTAGCATCACATTTTGGTCACAATCGTCTTTTTACCGCTTTGCGTCGCTTCGTTTCGTTTCTCTTTGTTCTGTATCGATTCGCTTGTTTTTGCATTGTAAATGAAGTAAATTAAGCGCGTATTGACATATACAACTGCATAGAAACTTTATAATATAAACTTTATAATCTCTTGCTAACGGGTAATGTCTGCATTGTGTTCATCACCAAAATTTTTTTAACAGTAAATTTTTGGCATGATTAACGGTTAAAATTTGTCAATTTTTTTTTAGCCGTTCACGGCAAACGGTTAACCTTATTGAGACCTTCCATTGATCTTTATTCTATCATTTTAACTATAATGGATTGAAAATTAATAGCAATAGCTTTTAAAATATTTTAATATTTCCCTACAGCCTCATAATGTTCTCTCTAGTAAGTCAACGATTTTATTTTAGATATAAATAAGTGAATAAACTTTCCATATCATGAAGTCTTTTTTACTTTCTCTCAGGAATCTAACTAATAGCTAAGAAATAACAATAGGAAATTTAAGAAATGTTAACGGCGACGCGGTGGACAAAGTCGATTAGATAATTTAAAAATGAACGTATACTTTGTCTACGAATCTCTCAAATTAAAAAAAAAAACAAAAACAAAACAAAACAAAAAAAAAAACAATAAGCCGTCGACGTTCACGTTCTCCAGAAAATAGAGAGTGTATTCATTTCACGTAGTTGTTTTGCACAGGACGTAACCAGAATTTCAAAGATTTATAACACACGTGCACTGTCACTGTTCTGCTCATGAAATTTTTTGTTTAGTGACGTTTCCGTTGCCGTTACCGTCATGGTTTTCTTAAGCTCTTCAATGGGTCAGCAATGACGCTTGGTAACAACACTGATTAATTACTGCTCCTCTACCTGTTGTTATTATTTTTTCGGTAGCGGTAAAGGATTCATTTTAAAGGGAAATATTATAAACAAAAAGGAAACATAATGAACAGCAAAGGTCTTTAACGTGACATATTGACCTGCCATAATTCTAACACCTGTTCTTATATTCCTAGCCACTACACTACCCTCTTCATCTGACATGTCAAAAATCTCCTCTTGGTTATCTTACTTTTTTAGCATAACTCAGTTTGTAATTATTGTTGGCGCTAAAAAAAAAAAAAAAGAATTTGCCCTTTTTTAAGAGAGAAATTTTGAATTGGAAAATCATCTTGATGATGCACATGCACGCCAAATTTTACGATATCTTTTTAGAAATGGTATTCTCGAAGGAATATTCAAAATGGCATTGCTTACTTTCACTCTTTATGTGTAATCTGTAGACCGCGACGATGGAGATTATTACCTCAATAAGAAAGAGTGATGAGAAAAAAAAAGACGAACTCTTTCATCCTGAATAATGAGGTTACTGTTTTAGGAAACATTACGCCAAGACAAGATTAAGTTAACTGATGAAATATAGGTTAAGAGAACCTGTTTGATGTTAAAAGTTGTGAGCAGTTTTTTGGCGAGTCAAGGTTCATAATCCAATCTTATTTGATTGCGGCTTTTATTTCTGACAATGGGTTACTAAATATATTATGACTGTTCCTTAATCTTAATTTCTTAATTTGATTAACCTTACGTTGTAGTTTTTTTTTTATTTTGAAATGACTGAACCAGGTCAGGCTAGCTACCGGAAGAAACAAGTACCTAAAGAAGAGATTCAGAAAATTCAGAGAATTCACCGATATGTATTCGAAAAAAGCACTTGAATTATATTTAAAAAATGCAAGTAGCCTATTTTGTAATGCTTTTTAACTTTCAGCGGAAATGTTTTTTTTACAAATTTATTTGAGGGTTGTTATTTGAGTTGCACTCTTAATAACGGGAATTGTTAACTAAACTAATGATTGGACAGAAGTGTTTTTCTTTAGACATGCATTTAAACCATTGTTTTTCGCTCGGTGAGCGCGGAATAAAGTTTCTGATCGTGAGTTGTACAACGTCGAAAAAAATCATCATAAAAGGAAGAACTAACATGAAACAGATAAAACTAGAAAAAACTAGTTTGGCAAACTTGATTGATTTCATTCACTAAGTCCAGAGATGTTACTTGCTATTCCCAGTCCCTAATAGGTGGTCCTTTAAAAAGAAGTGAAGGGAATTTAGAGGCACCCTCTCTCTCTTGATTAATTCCGTTTTTATCTTTTAGATTTTTGCGAGCTTGCAACATCCTGGAATAAGCCATATATACATGTGTACATATAAATCAGCAAAATGTTTACTCTTATAATATTATAAGCCATCGACTAAGGTATTTATCTAAACCATTGTTTACTCCTTTATTAAATATAGTTTTAAGTAAATTAGCCGATTATCAGCGATGCAGTTCTGGTTGTCATACAATGTCACACGATGTTACTGTAATGAACCAATTGTGGCATTCCTTTAAAAGGTAATGATCAAAGTGCCCGGTGATACAATTTTTATTTCGTAATTCTTTTTCACTTGAATTCATGTTGTGCATATTTTAGTCCTCTCTCCTCCGTTTACGTGTAAGTTTCACCTCTTTGGCATCATCCATGCAACCCGGGAATGTTGGAAACAATTTGACTTCATCCTCTGTTTCACCCCTCGCTTTATCTGTTGTTAATGCCCATTGCAAAGTATCCATGGACATTTGACTAGTGTATAGCTCACCAGGATCTTCTGCGTTGTTTCCAAACACAGCAAAATTCCCCACGGCAGTACCACCTTTGACACAGCAGCCAGCAGTCCACAGAGAACTTGGGACTGTTATGGCAGGGATTTGAGGAAGATCTTCATTAGCCAGTTTTAGTGCTTTTCTTGGATTTTTGACCTTAAAATAGTCTGTATTTGGAATCCAATGCATAAATGAACTTCCAGTTAAGAGATATAAAGTTCCATCATCCTTAGTACAACGATTTACTGCATAGTCGCGTATCATTCTCTCGTACTGAGACCACTGACCACTGTTAAAAGCTGGTCGCTGTGGCACCGCATTTGTGTAGACGAAAGTGGATCGAAAGCCGGCACCATTATAGCCCGTATCTGATAAAGTATGTGCGGGTGCCAAGTGCCCTCGGTGAAATGGTAGGCTGGGATACACCTCGTCGCTTCCTTGTTCCTCAATGCCTTAAAAAGGAAATTAAATTATGACAAATAGATCCACTATTATTGTTAAGAATCTAAACATTGCAGTCGTGGACGCCAACTAAACCAAACTTCACGGAACTACATCAAACTACGCCAGAACTAGGCCAAGGAAACCGAAAAAGGCAATTTACAGCAAGCACACACAACAGCAGGTGCACCATCTACACCATCTCCTCAAAACAACACTGAACTGGTTTTTAGCTTAAACAAGTCCTATGTAATAAAATTAACTTGCTATCGGAAGTTTGAATAAATACCTTCGGTTTGTCTCCATTTTGGGCGTGTCCATTCCTTAAAGTTTACCTTATCTTTCGTAAGAGTGTAAGCCGAGTATACCGGAATTCTAAATTGCTTGTCGAACATTGTTCCATAGTGGGTTCCATCATCGTATTCTTGGTAATCTTTTTGACAGATGTATCTTATTTTTAAATTCATAGGATCTCGCAAACCTACTGGTGGTTCATTTCCTGCAAAGTTTTTTCTGTAGCATTTGTCCCCATTGCCAGGGTAAATAGTTTTTCGGTTGCCTGTGATATCTTGCATGTGACCTGGTGGAAAAAGAGAAAAAAAAAAACAAAAAACAAAGTCTCTCAAATTAAAATCTGCCTTGTGATGCTCTGGTTTTTAAGCTATGTAAATAACTAAGTTATCTGACGCCTTTGTTGAGGTATACCATATAACATCCCAGTTGTCACCTTGGTATGCGCGCTCGCCTACGGGCTCGTCTGCATGCAGAAAAAAATCCCAGTCAGTCGTGGGATATTCCAAATTGAACCAATCTTGTGAAGACCCCATCTCTCACCCAGATGTTGATAATCAAAGAACCTGATGGAGAGATTTAATATTTTTCCTGACCTATTTCTCTTCAGAAAAAAAAAAGTTCATTTCAATCAAGTGTTGTATTCGCCTCAAAAAGTTTCTTATGCAGACACCATCAAAGGAAATTCAATCAATACTCAGTTGCCAGTGATTAACTTTATTTCATTTACTGGGTAGTTCATAAGAGCACTTGAATTTTCGCTGAGATTATTTTAAGCCATGAGCTACATTTGATAACTCGGAAGAGAGCGAATTTTTCTCCATGAAATAGTAGACTCTGATAACAGTTAAAATATTCTGTTTATCTTGTAACAAGGGAAAAATTGTAAAAAAAAGTTGTGATAAATTCCACGGCGATAAAAGACGAGAACAGCCAGTCAAAGATATGGTTAAAGGTAAGGTTTGCCTCTCTTCATTCTAGGCTTTGTGGTTGCTATTTTTTCAATTAGCCACGTAATTTTTTTAAACGATTTCAGTTTTAAAACGTGAACAGTTGCTCATCTTACCCTTTTTTAGTTTCCTTTGTAAGGGGCTACCATTGATGACATTGGCCGCTAGGAGTCCAAACATTATCAGGACGAGTAAAATCTTCACATGGAATTTCTCCATCTTAGCATCGGAGTCAGCAGGCAAGGGTGGGAATCTTCATCAACTGCCAGTAACGAATGATAAACATCTGGCTGTAAGATGTTCCTTAAGGGTACAACTTCCTCGTGGAAATTTGCAGGTGGAATGGATTGTTCAATAGCACAGCAGAAGTCTCAATACAGCTGGTATTGCCTAAGTGAAGCCACCTGAGTGATTTGATTCCCCATGAATTAAAACCCTTTTTATTCCTTTTGTGCAAACTGAAACTAGTTCTTAACTATTGATTACCCCTTTAAAGACCTTTTAAAGAGATCCGAATTTTCAAGATTTGAAAAATGTTCAAGATATTTAAAAGGTTTTTTTAAAAGTATTTTGAATATTCAGATTTTAAACATTGTTTCGTCAGAGCCTAAGGAATGGACAATACACTTTGACAAATTTCACTACCAAAACTATTTCAGAAAAACACACGATCCAATCTTTCCCTTAAAAAAAAAAAAAAAAAAACAGTTTGAAAAAGGAAGGAAGGTACCGGGTTTATTGAAGAAACAAATTAAGAGACCTTTTAAAATATTAGTTTCAAACCATATGATATCTTAACGGGTGCCTCTTTCAGTGTTTTTTATTTGGGTACCAAACCAATCGCAGTGTAGCTACGTTCAAAGTGTCCGGGGTTTGTTAATTTAGATGATAAGTGGTCCAAAGAGTATTTTTAATTCAATTGAACGAACGCTAGTTCTAATCCAGAAAATTAAGCCATCCTAAATCCACCTAAATCGGTTATCAACCTGAGTTATTATTATGGGATAGATATACATGTATATATCGTTTGCCTTGACCCTTGTTTAGCCTTAAAGAGTTGACACTCACGTGTGAAGGAGAACTGAATTCAAATCAGATAAACACGAAATTCACTTCTCGCAAAACTTACTAAAAATTAGCAACCGATTTTTGCCTACATCTAACGAATTTTTCTGTAGCTGTTGTTTTACGAAAATAGAGCTTGTTTCCTTAGATGAGTTTGGAATGCCATGTTTCAAAAGCACGAAATATTCTTTCTTAGTCCTTTGAAGAGTGTTATCGAGTTACCTATTGAAAAATTAGAATTAAATTAGTCGGAGAATATTTAGCTTCCTCTTTGATACATTTAGGTGTGGTATTAGACGTCGAATTAACTCATTCGGAAACTAGACGGATCACTGCATTCAAGTGTACAAACAAATTTCACATTTGACCGATTAGACTACTCTCACATCTTACTATAAAGGCACTCTATGCCCACACTTAGCCCAGTTTAAAACAGGTAAAATTATTTCAAAATCTTTTTTTCAGGAGATTGGGTTAGTTTAATTGACTTTAGCGAATACCTTGTTAAAATTACAGTGGACATCATTGTATACATGGTACTCTCGGTAGGTTGCAATCAAAAGGGCAATTCCAGACCAGTTCCATGCGTTAGAGCTGCATTGAGCCTTTTACATAGATCCAACGCCACGACTGTTACTGTCGTTTCGCAACCTTCGCTTATTTCATTCAAACGTGTCAAAAACAAAGGCAACATTTTGGTTAGATGTTCATTACAAAGTGATAGCCGACCCGGAACTTTCAAATGTGCTCACGGGCGATGCAAAGCTTGTCCTTTCATTTATAACATTGAAAAAATACGGAGACCCAAATAATCCATAAAGATAACAGAGCACTTCACGTACATCTCCGCCGATTTCATATATTGCATGAGTTGCACCTATAATAAAGTTTGGATATAACGCGCGCTGTTATTGGTTGAAATAGCGTGCTCTATCAGAGTATAGAACATAGAGCAAGAGAGCTCACGTTTTCTGCCAAATTGTACTATGTCCGACCATTTTCCGGAGTTCTCTGTAGCTTTTTTGAGGGTTGTCCAATACACCCAAACCGCTCCGATTTTTTTTTTACCGGAAGTCGATTCACAGTGAATGCGTCTTATTATACCAGATATCTCCTAAACCATCTCTCATTAGATGGAAATGCATACCGGAAATCAATTTGCGAGACACCTAACTAGTAACTGTCAAGGGTTGTTGGAGATGTTGCCGAATCGACTCGATTCGACTTCAGTCGAACGACTAATCTCAGTTAAAGTCGACCCGTCATACCTGAAGTCGATTTGCAAGACACTTAGAAAATATTCCGCAAGTAGCTACTAATTGGGGTTGAAGTTGTTGTCGAATCGACTCGATTCGACTCGAATCGACCGACTCATCTCAGTCAAAGTCGACCCGTCACACCGGAAGTCGATTTACAAGACACTTAGAAAATATTCCGTTAGTAACTACCAAGGGTCGTTGAAAATGTTGTCGAATCGACTCGACTTCGCGACGTAGAAAAAATAACAAAGATGCATCCAAACCAGTTGCTAGATACTTTAATCTCCCTAACTATTCAAAACAGCATATGGTAGTTAGCGGTTTTTCCAACATCTAGGCAGTTCGGAAAGCCGCAAAACTCTAGAACAAAAATTTATCTTTCAAATCGGCTCTCTTAATCCCTACGGTATCTACGAGCGCTTTTCATTGAACTCATTTAGTCTGGTTTGATCGTTACTATATTATATTCCCACCAATAGAGCAACCCACAAATCCTCCAGTGGCTCTAGCGAAGGGCTAACGCTCGAAAGGTCAGCTTTTAAACTCCTTATGGTGGCCAATTTACGTTATCCACTCAGTTGATAACACTAAATTACCCTGTTCGAAATAATATTAATGATTAAAGTGCGCATATGGTTTTTCTTCTAGACTTTTTTTTCACTTAAATTCGTTCTGTGCACATAGTCTTCTCTCCTCCGCTCAGGCCGGAGGGTTACTTTGTTGGCATCATCCATGCAACCCGGAAATGCTGGAAACAATTTGACCTTCGGTGGCTTGCCACTTGCTAGATCCCCTTTAATTACCTCATGCAATTTACCCATGGAGACTTGTTGAGTAAACGTCTCCTTCGGATCTACCCTGTTGTTTCCAAACACTGCAAAATTCCCCACGGCATCACCATCTTTGACACAGCAGCCGGCCGTCCACAGAGAACTGGGGACTGTTATAGATGGAAATTGAGGAAGATCTCCATTAGCCAGTTTAGGTTGTCCACTTGGATCATTGATGTCATACCTGTCTGTATCTGGATCCCAATTAACAAATGAAGTTCCAGTGAGGAGATACAAAGTTCCATCACCCTTAGTGCAGTAATCTGTAGCATAGTCACGTATCATTCTCTCATACTGAGACCACTGACCACTATTAAAAGCTGGTCGTTGTGGCACTGCATTCGTGTAGTAGAAAGTGGATCGAAAGCCGGCGCCATTATAACCCGTATCTGATAGAGTATGTGCAGGTGCCAGGTGCCCTCGGTGAAATGGTAGACTGGGATAGATCTCGTCGCTTCCTTGTTCCTTAATGCCTCAAAAAGGAAACTGGATTACGTCAAACAGGTTCATTATTATTGTTAAGAATATAATTATTGCTGTTGTGGACGCCATCTAGACGAAACTGCGCCAAACTACATCAAACTACGCCAGAACTACGCCAAGGAGACCGTAAAAGGTTATCTACAGCAAGCTCACAAAACAGCAGGTGCACCATCTACACCATCTCTTCAAAACGACACTTAACTGGTTTTTAGCCTAAAACACTCAGAGTTTAATCAAGTCCTATATAATAAAATTAACTTACTATCAGAAGCTTGAACAAATACCTTCGGTTTGTTTCCACTTTGGGCGTGTCCATTCTTTGAAGTCTACCTTATCTTTCGTAAGAGTGTAAGCCGAGTATACCGGAATTCCAAATTGCTTGTCAAACATTGTTCCATAGTGGGTTCCATCATCGTATTCTCGGTAATCTTTTTGACAAATATATTTTATGTGGAAATTAATTGGATCACGCAAACCTACTGGTGGTACATTTCCCGCAAAGTTTTTCATGTAGCAGTCAACCCATTTTCCATCGTAAACAGTTTTTCGGTTGCCTGTGACATCTTGCTTATTATCTGCTGGAAAAACCGAGACAAAAAAAAGACTTGAAGTCATTCATAGTGAAATCTGCCTTCGTGATTCTCTGGTTTTAGCTATGTAAATAAATAAGTTATTTGACGCCTCTGTTATGGTATACCATAATTATAACATCCCATTGGTCACCTTGGTATGCGCACTTGATTACGGGCTCGTCTGTATGCTGAGAAAATCCCAGTCAGTCGGGAGATATTCCAAAAGTAAAGAAATCTTGTAAAACCCCATCTCTCACCAAGATGTTGATACTTAAAGAACCCGATGGAAAGTTTTTAAATATTTTTCTTGATCATTTCTCTTCAGAAAAAAAAGGTCGTTTCAATCAGGTGTTGTATCCGTCTCAAAAAATTTCTTTCACAGGGACTATTTAAGGAAAATCAATCAATACTCAGTTGCCAGTGATTAGCTGTATTTCAGGTACCTGGTAATTCATCAAAGAACTCCGAAAAATAGCTACTTGTTGACGTCATTTTAAGCTATGAGCTACATTTGATAGTTCGAAAGACAGCGAATTTTTCTCCATGAAATAGAACACTCTGGGGACAGTTAAAATGTTCTGTTTATCTTGTAACAAGGGAAAAAGGGTACTTCTTTGGCAAAAGAGGTCGATTTCCGGCAGAAATGGTTGCAAAAAATCGTAAAAAAGGTTATGATCGATTCCACGGCGATAAAAGACGAGAACAACCATTCAGCGATATGGTTAAAGGTAAGGTTTGCCTATCTTCAATCTGGGCTTTGTTCCTGTTATTTCAATTAGCCATGCAATTTTTTATACGATTTCAGTTTTTGAAACATGAACAGTTGCTTATCTTACCCTTTTTCAGTTGCCTTTGTAAGGGGCTACCGTTAACGACATTGGCCGCTATCAGTCCAAACGTTAGCAGGACCTGTAAAATCTTCACATAGAATGCCTCCATCTTAGCATCAGAGTCAGCAGGCGAGGATAGGGATCTTCATCAACTGCCTTAAACGAATTGTAAACACCTGGCTGTGAAAAATTTCTTATGGGTACAACTTCCTCGTGGAAGTTTGCAGGTTGAATGGATTGTCCAATAGCACAACAGAAGTCCCAGTATAGCTGGTATAGCCTGAGTGAAGCCACCTGAGTAATTTAATTCTCCATAAATTTAAACTCTTTTTTTTTATTCCTTTTGTGCAAATTGAAACCAGTTCTTAACTTTTGATTACCCCTTTAGAGACCTTTTAAAGAGCTTCGAATTTTTAAGATTTTTAAAATGTTCAAGATATTTAAAAGGTTTTTTTAAAAGTATTTTTAATATTCAGATTTCAAACATTGTTTCGTCAGAGCCTAATTCAGATAATGGTCAATACATTATAACAAATTTGGCTAACAAAACTATTTCAGAATAACAAACGATCCAATCCTTCCCTTAGAGAAACAGTTTGTAAAAGGAAGGAAGGTACCAGTTTTATTGAAGAATCAAATTGAGAGACCTTTTAAAATATCAATTTCAAACCATATAATATCTTAAAAGGGTGCTTCTTTCGGTGTTTTTTATTTGGGTACCAAACCAATCGCCGTGTAGCTGCCTTCAAAGTGTCCAGGGTTTGTTAATTTAGAAGGTACGTGGTCTAAAGAGTATTTTTAATTCAATTGAACGAATGCTAGTCCTAGTCCGAAAAAATTAAGCCATCCCAAATCCACCTAAATTGGATATCAACCTGAGTTATTATTATGGGATAGATATACATGTATCATTTGCCTTGACCCTTGTTTAGCCGGGTGTTTTTGGCAGACTTATACCTGTTGAATGAACGGTTCAATCACACGGTAAAATGTTCCAAATTTTAACGGTTAGCCGCAGAAGCCATCACCCTATTCAGCACCTGCTCTCTGAGAAGTCCGAGAAATATCTCCATTCTTTTAAGTTTAACAGCTACCTGATCTATTTCATTGAATCTAATATATCTTCCAAAAAAATCCATCTAAAAGTTTCATCGCATGAATCAGAAATAATTACAAATTCTAGATAATAACCCAGATGCCTCAAATGTAAAAGTTGTCTGTGCTAAATTTTTATCGCGAATTTTTGATGCTGAGTGCTACGGAAAAATCATAGTACATAAATTTTGCACTTTTGTCAACAGTCCAAGCTACTAATTCAAGGTAATCATTTTCGTTACAACTGAAACTGAAAAGTTCCTCTTTATGAGTTTATGATGGTCACCTTGACACTCCTCACGATCGTCGGGTTTTTTTGATAGTATAAGTTATCGATAAAATCACTCATGCCAAAGTTTTACGAAGCCAACATTTTCTCCAATAATTTATTTTAGTTTCGTTTCTTTGTCTTTCGCTAAGTCGCCTTGTCTAATAATAACGACTCCGAAAAAGGATCGTGAACAGATCTGCGGAATAATTTGATATGGTTTTCGTCTTGTTCATTGCTGTTTCATTGGCACCTACAGAGGTAAAAATTGAGGCCTGAGCAATCATACTCGACATATTGACGCGAGGAACTTTTGTGACTATATACGGAGAGCAACTTTTAGCAATCAAATATTGCCGAATATTGTCTGATGGACAAACGGGACGCACTAAAATTAGCGTATGCTGACAGTTTTACAATTTCAATGTAAAAAATGCGACTGATTCTTTTTCGGGAATAATACCCACTAAAAACAGATTGATCAGAAAAGATTGTCAGCAAGTATATAATTCCAAGACTTTTATCCAACCTCCTTAGTAAGCAGGGCAGATGGACCTCGATGATTCTAGCTGTCGTGCAGATGCGTTCAATATCATCAATCCAGAATGTTCATGGACAAGAAAGTAGCGAAAATAAAGTTTTGGATATTTTGCAGGGCTGAATCTTTATTCATATTTTACGACCTATATTGCAGTGAGCCAATCTTTGGCTTCTCAGAGATACGTCAGCGGTGCAAAAGATTCATTGATTAATGCATGCTCCTCTACCTGTTGTAATTATTTTGTTTAGCAGTGGTAAAGGAATTTCATTTTAAAGGGAAGCATAAACAGAAAGAAACATAATGAACAGCGAAAGACTTAACGTAACATATGGAATTGCTATGATCTTAGCACGTGCTCTTTTAGTTCTATCCACTACAACCCTCTTCATCTGACAAGTAAAAAATCTTCTTTTGGTTATCTTACCTTTTTAGCCTAACCCAGTTTATAATTGTTGTTGGCGCTAAAATGGATTTGCCCCTTTTAGGATAAAATTTTTGGATTGGAAAATTATCTTGATGATGCCCATGCACGCCAAATTTATGATATCTTGTTATCAGTGGTATTCTCAAAAGAATATTCAAAATCGAATCGCTTGCTTTTACTCTCC